ACGATTAAAAACCAAAAGAAATGCTCCTTTTGTTCCTATGTCTCGAAACGTAAATTCCCTTTAAAAAAAAAAAAAAAAAAAAAAAAAAAAAAACTTCAAAAATGTAAATTCAGAGAAACGAAATACATCTAGGACAGTCTGAGGGAAACTGTTGGTGGAAAGGGGAAAGTCTATGTGGTAAGGTGAAATGCCTTCACCTTTTCTGAAACGGATTTGGACAACGTGCTTGGTCAGGTGCATTCACCACCCAAAAGAAGAAACGTGTTTGATGCTGAAGAGCCAAACCACGCCCCTGTCACTGTCTCCTCCCCTTCAGCCTAAGGGGTTAGGATGGCTGGGGAGAGAGGTAGATTGGGCGAGAGGTAGATTGGGAGAGAGGTAGATTGGATAGGGATGGCTCAGGCTGTGCTGGAATGCCAGTTCTCCTTCTTCTTCTTCTTCTCCTTTTTTTTTTTTTTTTTTTTTTTCGTCCCCTGGACTGTCAGTTCACCCGAAGGAGAGTATGGCTCTCACGGGTTTACACCAGATTATATATATATATATTTGACGATATATATATATATATATATATATAAAATATATACACCTCGTTTGTTGTCCTCTTCTCTCTCTCTGCCTACGGTTTACCGGGCAGTTCTGTTTGTGACGATATATATATATATATTTTTCTTTTACACCAGAGTTTTGCGATCCTGCAACTGCACCTTTTTTTTTTTTTTTTTTTTCCCCCTTGACAGTCATTCTTGAACGTTGGCAAAGCTACCTTCCAAGGCTTGCAAGCCTGCAACTACACCTTTTTTTCTTTTTTTTTTTCCAAAATAAACTGCACCTTTTCAAAGTGGCCTGCCGCTTTCGCTGCCGGCCTAGGCCAACAACGAAATGGCCTTCCTGCGCAAACAGGTAAGAGCAGTGCTCAAAAAAAAAAAAAAAAAAAAAAAAAAAGTAAGAGCAGTGCTCTGCTTCGGTTGAAGGGGGGTTACGCAGACACAGCTGACGTGCGTAGGGGGAGCGGAACGGAGGGAGGGGAGGTGCAGCAGCTGGCGGTGCTCGGTCTAGATGCTTTGGGCTGACCTCTGGCCGATATCGGATTTGGTTGGATGATCCATAACTTGATTTTGTTTCATTCTTCCTCAAACACCATAAAGATAAAAAATTGTCTTCATTTCCTCCCCCCCCCCCCCCCAGTCCCCCCCCCAAAAAAAAAAAAAAAAAAAAAAAAAAAAAAAAAAAAAAAGGGAGCCGTGGACCTTAGATGGGGCTGTCTCTTATACACATCTAGATGTGTATAAGAGACAGCCTAGTTACCATTCCATACATTCATACCCGTACCAGACGACACAATCCCAGACAATCCAGATCCAATGAACAACTATCACTCCCCTCCCCTACCTGAAGCAGAAGCTGCAGAACTGCCAGCGAGCCCCCCTCCCCCCCCTCCTCTCCCTACTGATTCTCTCCCAGAATATACACCCCCCCCTCTGCCCGCCACGCTCTAACCTCACGCCCTACGCTGCTTTTCTTCACGGAGTGACTAAAAATGTGGAAGGGGCCCGGACGGTGTGCAACGGGGATGTGCCAAGGATTTTAGGAAAAGGTGAGTGTAGAGTTCCAGGTCGGAACTGGAATCTCCTGTGCGGTTCCGGTGGTTATGGTAGATGAACAAGGGCCAATAACAAACTGGCAGACGATCAACGCCTACCTAATTCAAGAACTACCGCCGGATATCGTCGCACGCTCTTCAGCGTTTTTTTCCTGATCAGAACGGTGTGGGCGTGTACATCGGATCCCAGCTGTGGACGAGTGTTTGACGACGTGTCTCACAGTGTTCTCAGTCAGAATCAGAGGGGTGCAGCCGTACGGATCTTTCCGCTATCTCTTGCCATGCGGCACGTAGTCAAATCCTCTCGACCTAAGTCGTTGCACACGGCTACAGTCCGAACACAAAATCCAGGGCCAGTGAGGAGCCACGGTCGCCGACAAAACAACAATCTTTTTTTTTGTTAACCGGCCTCCCGGTACCAGGTGGGGTGATAAGAGCACCTTCCCTGGTGGCCCACTGCCGGATGCGCCAGTCTACTGGTGGGGAGCGACACCTGCTGGAAACCGGGTCCAGTGTCCCCTATTACATAATAATTGACAGTGTCTGAATGTGTCTGGATGTCAGGGCCACTGCCCATCATACTAAGATGCTCTAAGAATCTCTTTTCCTGCAACCTCTTTACCCTGCCACTGGGCGCCACACCGTGGCTTACGCCCGGATGCTTGCTCACAGAGTTCCAAGCCTTCAGTGGTCCTCAGTAGTGTGTGGCCTCTTTGAAGTGCTGATGTCGCCGCCTGGGGGCACTGGCGGGGGTGTAGTCTACTATATGTAGTCTTCATCAATTTGGGACTATGGCGCCCTCGGGGGGCAACATCAGCACTTCGAAGAAGCCACACAATACTGAGGACCACTGAAGGCTTGGAACTCGGCGAGCAAGCATCCGGGCGTCAGCCAGTCGGGTGCCCAGTGCCGGGTGAAGAGATTCCAGGAAAAGAGATTCTTAACGACCCTGAAATTCAGACACATTCAGAAATCATAAAGTATTATGTATCATGGGATGTTGCACCCAGTTTCTAGCAGAACAACAATCAACTCTGTATGGGGGGAAACGGTGTCCAAGATCACAAACCCGGAGTTCACGAAGGCCGAGCACTGTGTCAAACTTTCTGTAGTGAACTGGTAGGGCCGTCCAAGCGCATGTCCCACTCACACACACGTGGCTGGTCCTCGTTGTATGGGAACTCAGGACATGGGCTTTTGCGTGGCTCCAAAGCAGAAGACTGAGATGCTCTGGCAAACATTGCAAAGGGGGAACTTAATGTCAAATGGAGAAAACATCCATCACACGCATCCACCGATCACAAACACGAACCCCTTGGTGGACAATTGTGGACGTCATTCTGCCGTCACCGCTCTTGCTGCAAGCAGAAGTGTGTAATGGTAGTGTTGTGCGCATTCATCTGGCGGCGATCGCTTGTTCAGCACACAAGGGGAAGAGTGTAACAAGTCCACGCCTCGTCATTTTTTTATCATTATTATTATTATTTTTTAAAAGGGACAATGCTCCAATCTATTCGTGGGAGCCGCACGCGCTGGGAACCGGGCCCAGCGTCCCATTTGAAACATGAAACATATTTCAGAATATATACAGAAAAACTGCGGGGCTTTTACCCGGCTTTGTCTGACAATAGGATCATGAGCAATTACTAGCCTATTCGATGAAGAACCCTATGAGATAGGCTAAAATTCATTGACTCATGCTGGCTTAAGAAACTAACAGAATCCGCAGAGAAAGTTGAAGGCATCTGGTTAGTTGCATCTAACGTCTTACTACGCCAAACCATAGACTAAGTTTCAAAAAGATCAGGCAAGATATATTCTGCATGCATGGGAACAACATACATCAACCAACAAAGCTACATGAGTGGCTATCGTCCAAGATACGAGATTACGTTCCAAAAAAAAGAAGGATGCTGATTTCAGGCATGCGCAAACATACATTAATTGAACAACACCGTAAGAGATTCCCCTAAAAAAAAAAAAAAAAAAAAAAAAAAAGAGATCCGCATTCCCGCAACCATTCAGAGGAGAAGATTCTGAAGAAGAAAACCCTTGCGCTTTCAAGAAGATCTGCGCCATGCGCGTTCCTCTTGCAAGCACAAGTGTGTAGTGGGGAACATGGGAAGCAGAGTAAAGACAGGAGAATTCACGGGCGGTCATTCACAAGCAACTCATTCATTCTCATAGGCGAGATCGAAAAACCACTCAATTGATGAGACAAACGCGGAGAGCATAGACGTTTCTCAAACTGTGGTTTGGGTACACCCGAGGCTAAATGGACGAGCCTGAATTTGAATTTTCCCGAGCCTAAGAGCTACCGGCACCCCAGCTCGGAAAATGGAGGGTGTTACCGGTACCGCCCACTTTGAAACTGAACAGTGCTGCATCTTTTTCACTTGTGTGCCACCCCTGGCAAACTCTTGGCAAAAATCAGCCCCTGTATCTGGCAAGAAATTGGGCCTGGGCGCCAGTACGAAACTGACCAAAGAAAAAGACAAGAAGAACAGGCTGGCGCCCGTGAAAGAAAGAAAATCCCCCTGGTGATTCTCAACTGACCCTCAAAGAAGCGCGCTCGTATCTAACCTGAAATGGGTGCAGATTCATACAGCTAAAACAAAACAAAATCCCACTGGTGATTCTCAAGAGGTGGGCACCCGTGAAAACAGCAGCCTGTCACTCTGCTGGGGGCGTTCTGTCCCCACTCATTTTGCTTTTAGGGTCTGATCCGACTTCTTACAGGAACGTCACTTTTAGGCAAAATTTGGGATCGCACTTCTTTCCACGAAAGTAGGATCCCGCCCCTGAATGTCGGGGATGTGGAAACGGTCTCGTGCGTGTAGGCACGACCGTGATAACAGGGGCGGTAGTTCTTTTGGTTTTCGGGAGAGGCCGACCCCCTCTTCCGTAGCGAAAAGGAAGACAACAATTCTTTTTTTTTTTTTTATCGGTCCAAACGGTAGCCCAGGAATGTCCGCCTTCGGTGGACAGTGTGTGACGGCCGGCACGGTACCGTAACCCCGACAGTGTGTCCCGCCTCGCGGCCCAACGGTAACCAGTCACCACATCCTGTCCCAAGGCCATGTAACCCCCCGCCCCCCCAGTTACCCCTGGGGGTCTGGATGTCCCACTTCATTGGCACTTCAGCAAGTGTCAGCGGAATAGCAACCTGAACGTTTATCCGCCCGGGAAGCCCACCGTATACATGGGTCATGTCACGTGATTGTCCAATCGGTCTATTTATCGTCGCAGCCATAACGCAAAGCACTTCCTTCATTTCTCACGTGATCCAGGCGTCGAAGATCCCCGATTCCTCCACGCGTCTATCACAGCCAAGTGTCATTGCTGGGGGCGCGGAGGTGCGTTGAAGTCCCACGTGTACAAGCTTCGTAGTGAAGGTATGGACGGTGGTCGTCACACTTTCCAACCCCGTTCGCCATCCCTCTCCCCATCCCCGTCCCCGATGCTTGTCGAAACATGCATGGTGGATGTCCCACCATCAACCCCTGCCACGTACGCCCCAGGTTATCAAGCTTCGTCGCCTGCTGGAGGTGGGTCGTCTTACGTACGACCAACTCCCGTTATGCCACACGGTCTGCCGCCCCTGCCAGCGTTCAAGAATCTGCACACTTTGATGTACGCTGTGGGGAGAGAGCCTCGATCTATGACTGCCCTCCTCGCCGAAGGTGATAGCCTTGGACCGCAGCGAGGTGGACAATCATATGGGAGCAGTGCTGGGTATCATGGGTGGGGCATGCCACGTGGAGGTCAGTGGCAACACTCACCGCCAGCCATGGGACCCGGTGGGGAAGGAGAGGTGCCTGCGGGGGGACCTGCATCATCGGCACATACATCATACGTTGCTGGCGCTGCTGGGCACATGCATGCGGGGGTCGGTGGAGCCACCCCCATGCTCTATTATTCAAGACCGCCTCCTCCATCACCGGTTGGAGGCACTGCGCAGTCCATGCCTTCGGATGCCGTGTTCTGCAGTCATGACGGTCGGTGGCTTCATGTCGTCGATTCCGAAATAACGGAAAATGACCCTTCTGAATCGACCGCCGATCTGGGTGACGATATGGACAAGCAGGATGCTGGAATGGGCGAGACGTGGACATCACCGACTGCCGACATAGCTGGTACGCAAAGCACGGGTCATGTGACAGTCGACATCAGCGATGATGGCAAAACGGATGACGGGGTGGGTGGAGAAGTGAGGAAGAAGGGCAGAAGGGCAGGTGGGCGAGGGCGTGGCGGGGACAAGCCCAAAGTCCGAGGTGCGGATTGGGGTTCCGGGGAGAGCGTCGCACTGTTGAAACTGCTTTTTTTTTTT